AGCCCATGTCCTTTGCGGCCCATTGGCCCTACAACACATTGGTCTACAACCCATTGGTCTACAACCCACTGGTCCTCTGCGGCCAATTGGCCCTACAGCACATTGGTCTTACAGGCCATTGGTCTTACAGCCCATTGGTCTACAACCCATTGGTCCTACGACCCTTTGGCCCTACAGCACATTGGTCTTACAGCACATTGGTCTTACAGCCCATTGGTCCACTGCGGCCCATTGGCCCTACAGCACATTGGTCTTACAGCACATTGGTCTTACAGCCCATTGGTCCTACAACCCACTGGTCCTACAGCCCATTGGTCTTCTGCGGCCCATTGGCCCTACAGCACATTGGTCCTACAACCCATTGGTCCTACAGCCCATTGGTCCTCTGCGGCCCATTGGTCCTACAACACATTGGTCGTACAGCCCATTGGTCCTCTGCGGCCCATTGGTCCTACAACCCATTGGTCCTCTGCGGCCCATTGGCCCTACAGCACATTGGTCCTACAACCCATTGGTCCTAGAGCCCATTGGTCCTCTGCGGCCCATTGGCCCTACAGCACATTGGTCCTACGGTACAACCCATTGGTCCTCTGCGGCCCATTGGCCCTACAGCACATTGGTCCTACAACCCATTGGTCCTCTGCGGCCCATTGGCCCTACAACACATTGGTCCTACAACCCATTGGTCCTACAACATTTTTTCCTGAAGCCCATCTTATATGTATTTTATTACTGAAATTGCATCCGAAATTAATCCAAATAACTATGTTACCGACACCACTACAGTGTTTTTTGTTCGTTTCTTTTTTCTTATAAGCAAATTAAACAACTGATTACAGATGAGTTCATGTACATATATATGCTTCACACATGAATCACGCAATAATTAGGCTCATGTGAAAGAAACAAATCTTCTAATAATCCAACATACTTCCACAGTAAGGTATGACTCCAGATTCTACTACCGGTATTACTTTAGTATTTACTGTGCGACCTGAATTCTTCTTGAATAATAATAATAATCAGAAAAGGGTAACAAT